ATGCTCTCTCGAGGTCTTCAACATGTACCGCAAATGCTCTACATGCTCTGCTTCACACTTAGAGTACACCAAGATATCATCAATAAAGACCTCCACAAACTTGTCCAATACATCATAGAATACCAGATTTATCAGGTTCATGAATGTCGCCGGCGTATTAGTCACACCAAACGGCATCACTAAGAATTCATAATGTCCATATCTCATCCGGAACGTAATCTTAGGGACATCAGAATCCTTAACCTTCACCTGGTGATACCCGCTCCGTAAATCCAGCTTAGAAAATGCTATCGATTCTCCCAATTGATCGAAAATATCATCAATACGGGGAAGTGGATACTTATTCTTCACTGTCACCGCATTCAACTCCCGGTAGTCGATGCACATCCGCTTGGATCCATCCTTCTTTCCCACAAGAAACACAGGTGCTCCCCAGGCTGATACACTGGGTCGTATCAAGCCTCTCTACAAAAGATCATCCAACTGAGTTCGAAGCTCGGCCAACTCAGTCGAGGACATACGATAAGGAGTCTTGGAGATCAGAGCAACTCTAGGCTTCAAATCTATAGAAAACTCAATTACCCGATTCGGTGGCAATCCGTAAATATCATCAGGAAACACATCATCAAATTCCTGAACTATAATTGGCTTCTCGGATTCCACTTGTATTGCAGCTAACGTCGCCTTCTTCGGTCTAGCTCTGTACTCCACAGGTCCGGCCGATGTGCTGCCACTAAGGAACTCAAACCTCGAGTGATCCGGTATCTCGAATACTATGCTCCGACGGTGATAATCAATGGTGGAAAAGAACGATCCCAACCAATCCATCCTAAATACTGCATCAAAGCTCGGCAAATTAATCACCAAAAAGTCTGTGAAGAGTTCCTTCCCGCATATGACCATATGGCATGCTTCATAACCACTAGATGCTACTAAGACGCCACTACCAGTGTTGATATTCCAGCCCGTAGTCAGGGAAGCTATAGGAAGAGAGTGGGCACTCGCAAATCGACGAGACAAGAAACAATTGGAGGCTCCAGAATCAAACAGTGATAAAGCAGGAACCGAAGAAACAAGAACCTTGCCTATTATAGGAGGATTAAATGCGACTAACTTAGTATTCACAACCAATCCTACCATGATATTATCAAGTAATGTTAAATAAAGAAGTTCATATGTAAATAAAACTAAGAATAAACAATTCTTACCAGTGATAACTTGATCGTTCACCTCAGCTTCTACGGCTGACATCATGAACATCAGGCACTGAGGTTGCTGCCTGTGTGCTTCCTGATAAAGCTGCTGTTGTGGAGGAAGAGACCCTGCTTGAGGATAGGATCTGTGCTGAGGCTGTGCTACCGGGGCTAGTCGAGGTGGAGTCGGGAGAGCTGCCCGAACTGGAGGTGCGGGCAAACAAGCCTGTTGCCGTTGCGAACAGTTCGGACTGATATGATCGGAGGACCCACAAGTATAGCACAAACGAAGGCGTTTGTGGTATTCCTACTGAGTATGCCCAGAATAGCCACAATAAGAACACCTCACTGAAGACTGACCATGAGACTGCACTCCAGAACGCTGATAAGGATGAGCATGAGGGGGTGGTCGACGCTGAGAATGCTGCTGCCTCTGCGGAGCCTGTTGCTGCTGTCTCGAAGGAGGACGCTTGACATTCTGGACCGGAGCTGCTGGGGTCCTACTTTGAATCACGTGTGAGTCTTCAGGTTCCTTATGCACGCTCTCAATCTCACGCGCCACATCTAGCACCGCATCATGGGTCGCCCAAGCTCTACCTGCCAGAATCATCCTAATGTACTTGTCCAGACCCTTCTGAAACTGATGCCTCCTAATCGTAGGGTTTGTAACCAAGTGGGAAGCATATCGGCTCAAAGAAGAAAACTCGGCCTCGTACTCGTCGACTGATCAACCCCCCTACTTGAGCTCGACAAATCTACACAGGAGCTCATCTCGGGCTGACTGAGGAAAATACTTCCTATTAAAGCGATCCGTGAACGTCTCCCATAGAATCGGCCTCTCTAGGTGTGTCTTCTCAGCAGCCCACCAAATTATAGCTGTATCTATGAGCTGGACGTCCATAAGGTCCACCTACTCTGCAGGGGCAATGCGGGTCACCATAAGGATAGTATCGGTAACCTTCAGGAACTCTTCTACTGCTAGAGGTCCTTCGACACTAGAGAAAGAAGGAGGCCGCATATACCAGAACTCTCTAACACCAGGCTCCGAGTGAGGGGGATGCTGGTGCTGGGGCTCCTGCTGCAAATGCCCAACTAAGAACTGCTGGTTTGTCACCAGCCCCTGAATCATCGCCAAAAGCTACTGCGGATCTAATTCAGGCATCTGACCACTGCTACTGGATGAGTTACCATTACTACGAGTACCCACCATGGTTCTGAAGAAAACGAGGATCAAAAGAAAAACTAAGGTTAAGATCAAAACAATATATTTGGAAAATAGGAACTAAAATATAGTTATTAAAATAATAGTATAAGAACTTAATTATAGTCTTACGGATGGAATATGATATGTATCTAAATTGTCTACTATATTCCTACCAGTGAGGACTTGGGACTGAGACCAAGACCGTGATCGGGATCGGGACCTGCATGGGCCACTACTAAAACCTGTCACGTCACGCTTCTCAAAATACCTGGGGAATCGGAAGGTGAACAAGTCCGCGACGTATTAGATTGAGAAGAAATATTCACTATCATTTTTTTCTTTTCTTCTCAATCCAATACGCTAAGCGTCAAATATATAAATCTCAATCACAAGTCCCTGATCACTAAAGTAAGAATATAAAGACAACCCAGAGTAAAAAATAAACATATCATCAACAGATCATCCCAGACATAAAATATGAGTCCAACATACCCTTACTACAATAACAGTTCAACTAGGAAATAAGAAATACATAGTCCATAATAAAAGGAAATACTAATAAAATAACTAAATCTATCATCAAACTAAAAAATAATAATGTAAAAGTGTTCTAGTGTTCATCAGCTGCTACAGAAAGAAAAACACATCTAGGCTTCAGTTTGTTCTTCCATTCCATCGGAAGGACACTCCGGCTGGGCATACACTGGCTCTGCTGCATCCTCGAACTGGACCTGTTCGTCCCCTAAGTCTGACGCACACTAGAGAAAACATGTGTACGTCAGCGTGCATGGCACACGACAAGATCTCACATAGAAAATGAAACGGTAGTATGACCCATGCTATGATAGTAATAATACCAATGGAAAGACAAAGACACATGCAACTAGAAATCTAATAAATCAAGATGGGATCCTATACTAACATGATAACATACAACCATATACATACAGTAACTGGGTCGAATATTATCCATCTTAAATCTCACTGGTCCACATCTCACATAGAGTCATCGCTCATATTATCAGATAACTGAATGTTCACAAATCCCCTACGTGCATCCAAACCCGCGAAACGGTTCGGTGAGAGGACTACACGCAATCCGACCCCTACGTGCATCCAAACCCGCGAAACGGTTCGGTGAGAGGACTACACGCAATCCGATTTCGGCCTGGTTCGAACTTCGGTGAGAGGACTACACGCAATCCGATTTCGGCCTGGTTCGAACTCAAGCAAAACTCGGGTGACGAAACAATTTCACTAACCAAGTGTGAAACGGTTTACTTGGCCCAACAAACTAACCCTAGTGCGAAAAGGTTCACTGGTGCGAGCCTGGAAGATACATCAACAGTCTTATCCGATCACATGAACCATGTCTTCCTAATCCCAACTCTTCTCGTTTTTCTAAGTCAACAATCAATCCATGTTAAATCTCGGGTTCACCATCTAAACTCAGTCAACACACCCACACATGTCACTAAGTCTATTCATGATGCACAATGTCATTAAGTCATGAACTACTAAGGGTTCTCAATCACATCAAAGAGACAATAAATAAAACTAATTCTATACAATAACAATATGGCATGTCGAACATGATTAAACAAGTTTATGAAGCATGAATAAGAGCTATAAAGAAACATCAAATACATGAACAGCCTACTACGACATGAATGCATACATAAGGGGACTTCATTATTATCTTACTACTGGCGTCCAAACTTCTCATGTAAACTAACCATAATTAAATATCCTCTAATATAATAATACGGTAAAAAGAAAACTAGAAACTGATATCATTTTGCACATAAAATGTCACGCTCTACGACTATCAGTCATACGTTCTTAATTAATAAATATTCTTTTCCAAAATTACTCTTTAAAACCATGTCTCATTATAACTAATTTAAAATAAAATATTTATGTAATATATATGTATATATGTATATAGATGCGCGATCTGGGCGGTTTATTATAAACCCAATAAAGAGATCTGAGCCCTTCGCTGAAAATCCCTTCCCCCCAAAATCCCTACCCTTCTCTCTTCTTTCCCGCTCAGATCGCGCCATCACCGACCCCCTCCTCCTCACCACCGCCCGAAAGCGCCGCCGCCCAAGCTCGGCCAAGCCCTCGACGTCCCCGTTCAGCGTCGCCGCCGTCCCCTTGCCCTAGCCATCACCTCCCCTCCTCCTCTCCAGCTCCCGAGATCGCCGCCGCTGAGCGTCGCCGCCGGGTCAGCGCCGTCTACTCCTCCTCGCCATCGAACTCACCCCTCGTCATCAGCCACGCCTCCGATGGCATTTGAGCTCAGCCCTCAGGTTCATCGCCACCTCCGGAGCTCGACCAAGCCCTCGACGTCTGCCCTCATGGCTTCGAACAAATTGAAAGAGTTGACGTCTTCGAATTCTTCAAAATCAAAGCCTACCTCTTCTAAATGCAATAATCCTCCAACTTCGTAAGTAATTTGCCATGATATATTTAATTTTTAACTCTTTCTGAATTATAATTGGTTTTGTTGTAAGCCATGATGTATAATGTTTAATGCAATAATCCTCCAACTTCGTAAGTAATTTGCCATGATATATTTAATTTTTAACTCTTTCTGAATTATAATTGGTTTTGTTGTAAGCCATGATGTATAATGTTTGTGTTAATAAACTTGTTAATATGCGTCTTAATTTGCCCAAATATATTTAATTTTTAACTCTTTCTGAATTATAATTTTCTTGTAGGGCTAAGATAACACACTTGAGAATTCCGGCCAATTTGTGTTATTTTCGAGATTTAATTGATAAGCGAATAAAATTAGATGAAAGACACATAAAAGCCCTACAGACGACACCTTTTCACAGCTTTCTCAATATACCCACATCCTTGAGCAATGAGCAAATAGCAATTGATTGCTTGATTCAAAATTTTAATCCTGATAAATGCTCATTCATGATTGGGAATAAAAATTGTGTGTTCGGTATAGATGATATTCACCGAATTACCGGATTGCCAAAGGAGGGAATTCCGATAAAAATGAGTGGGGCAGCGGCTAATACAATCTACACCTATTTTGTAAAGAATTATAAGAAAGCCGATGAGGAAAAGAAGGCGGTGATTTCGGGGAAGCGCGATAGAATGGCCGAGATGATTGTAGATATGATTAATGAAGACCCTATAATATGTGTGAAACTTATTGTGGCTTTCATTATCGGCTTCATATTATGCCCGCGGACATGTAAGACATGTCCCTTGTGGGCGTTTAGATATGCGGAGCAGTTATCAACTTTGCATAAATATAATTGGTGCCATGCGGTGTTCACTCTTCTTTGCAAAGAGATGAGTAAATCAAAGAAGTCTCTTAGTATGCGGGAATTAGGTCAGCGCTCAAATGCCGGGTACATGGGTGGTTTTTCCTCCGTTTTACTGGTGAGTTACATGAACATTATTTTGTATATCTTCCCGTATTGATATTGATTATTGTTTATGCACATGCTAATGTGTAGTTTCTTTTTTGTAGGTTTGGTTTTATGAAAAAGTAGGGGAATTAGAGTACACTTCAGATATTGAAAGGTTACCGCCGCTCTTTTGTGTGAAGAGTACTGGAAAGTGGAGGAGGACTACTATGAACAAATTATATAGAGTCCCGAAGTTGGTTACGGATAATGGCCAAGAGAATACTCCTCTTATTCATACGGCATCGCCAATAGTATTTGTACATATCGTTGCTCTAATAGTTCATTATTTTATGTCCCTTTTGTTAGTATCTATGTTTGCAACTATAGTATACGTACTAATACTAGCTTTTTTTGGTCAAATAGGAATCAAGGAAAGCTGAATTAATTTTCTTAATTGCGGAGAAGACGTACGAGTTGAATGAGCTCACTACAGAATTACGAGAATTAGAAGAGCGTAGTGCTAGATGCCAAAAAAAACCAAGGAGAAAGAGGATGACGGAAATGTAACTGAAGAAAAAAAAATCAAAGAGGATATGGAAGCTAAGGAATATGAGAATTTGGAAGGAACTGGGGAAGCCGATTTATGTGATGACTTTGTGATGAGCGCAAGAGACATGAGAATTTTAGAAGATGCTCGGTGAGTTTAGTTTTTTAAATTTTCTTGCAATTTTAATTTTTATATTTTCCATATAATTCTTGTGTAACTCTTTGTTAATTATATGCCTTCTCGACTCTATAGAGATGTTTCTCAAAAAGATGAAGGTGGTAATGAGAATAACAGAGAAACGCCATCTATCAAACGGGCTGTCGGAAAGAGGGAGAGGAAGGATGGACCCTCTGTTACTTCACCTTATATGCCTCTAGATCAACCAAAGGAAGGCACAAAGAAGAGACGTGTCATCCAGATATTGGATAGTCCTGATGGGAAAAAAAAGTACAAAAATGAAGAAGGCTTCATACCTACATCTAGAGACTATCCAGGTAAGGCACTGGCGTTTGATTATGAGAACAAATTAATTGAAGACTTTCTACAATCGAGAATGAACAGGTAGCTGTTACTGACTTATTCTAATAATAATCTTTGAATTTACTTAATTCTAGTAGCAATTTTCTCACAATGTACTTGTATATAGTGATACGTACATTTGGAAGTGTGCCGAAGCAAGCGTATCTCGCTTAGATGCTTATATACTATTAACGGGAGGTGAACTCAGTGACGATGTAGGTTCTAAACAATTGTGTTATTGATTGTTTGATGTTGTATATAAAATAATTTATATTAACTATTTTATTCATTCATGGTAATTTTTGTAGGTGATCGATGCATTTGTTATTCGGCTTTGTAACAAGATTGAAACAACTGATAGTTATGATCGAAAGATACATGTCACAAGACCTTGGCTTGCAGTAAGTATATCCTTGTTTTTTTCACTAATTGGTGGATATTATTATTATGTTATCCCACAATGTTGACATTATTGCATCTTTTAGCAAGCATTTCTAGAAGGAAATCTTGAAATGGTGCAAAACGAATGAAGGAAAATGTTTCTCAGTAGAAGTTCTTGGAGTGTGAAAGAATTCTGATCCCGATTGTCAGCTCCGGACATTGGCACCTGGTAGAGTTAGTGAGAGAGGAGACACAATTCTATCACTACTCCTCAATCAACTCCCCCATTTATACCGCCGATGCTGTGAAATTTATAAATAAGTTTATGAGTTTCATTGAGAGTAATTGGGGATTGGGGAAATTGGAGCATCATGGTCTTGTGTCAGTTGCCGTGCCACAACAAGGACCGTAAGTGTTTCATGCATTTCTAATTTAATTGTTCATTTTTTTGTTTCACAGTCATTTTCAATATTGTAATATTTTTCCCTTAAATGCAGAACGTTAGATTGCGGGATCTTTATGATTGAATTTATTAACAGCATTGTCGAAAAACGGTCGATAACAATTTCAAAAGGAGATTGTGCAAAATATAGAGCAAGGTTTTGTGCTGCTCTTTTGTATGCACGCGATTCACCTTTTTTGTAAATATTATTTTAATTTTCTCCAAGGTTTTTGTTGTGTATTCAATGTTGTAAGTATGTTCATGTTGTTAATATGTTGTTAATTGTTTTGCGTGTACATTTACAGACAACTACGTTGTTGTTGTGTGTTGTAAGTATTTTCATGTTAAATGAGAAGTAAGCTAGGGCTAACATAGCCACCAGAGCAAAAACTTGTGATAGAAATAACGCCAGCCCGCATTAGAACTAACTCGAGAAGGGATAGAACTAACAGGAGAGCAGCTAGAACTAACAAACGTGAGGGTAGGGCTAACATGGCCACCAGAGCAAACACTTTTGCTAGAAATAACTCCAGCCCGCAGTAGAACTAACTCGAGAAGGGATAGAACTAACAGGAGGGCAGCTAGAACTAACAAGCAGTTAGGTAGGGCTAACATGGCCAACAGAACACACACTTGTGCTATCTAGAAATAACGCCAGCCCGCAGTAGAACTAACTCGAGAAGGGATAGAACTAACAGGAGGGCAGCTAGAACTAACAAGCAGTTAGGTAGGGCTAACATGGCCAACAGAACAAACGAGAATGGCAAGAACTAACACGGAAACGGCTAGAACGAACATTAACCCAGGTAGAACTAACATATTCAATAGATCCAACACTTAAACTAACATTATTCACTTGCACTTGGCTGTGAAGGTTACCGAGATATTATAGGTTTGACTGCATTCGTTGTTTTTGCATAGTTCCCAAGGTTGAAGAGTCAACTCACCTTGCAAAAGTGCAGTCCCAAGGAGGAGAGTTATGATAACCTGGTCCGGAACCTATCCCCACATCCCACGCGGCAACATCACCATCCCCAAAGCCTGTTCAACCCCAGGATAGTATTGATTACCTTTTCGGCGCAATCTTTTTCGGATCTCCCCATCGCCGACTCTCTGTAGACTCTTCCGCATTTATTTGTACTTTTACCCTCTCCCCTACACCTTCAAGTTCCCCTGTATATATGGCGTTGTAAAATCATGGCTAGTTCCTGTACATCCGATGAAGGTCATGGCCTGCCTGGGACGCACGCTGATGTGGATCTTGGATATCCCTCACGCTGATGAAGATGTTATCCCCATTGTCTTTGCTCTTAGTTCCATCAGTGGGTGAATATACCTGGCTCCCTTCAAAGAGTTTGTACATTAACGCCCAGTTAAAATGCGAAGCTCCCGAATCGAAAAGAATACGGGCGGGAAAGGAATTCACAAAGAACGTACCCTCCACTACGGCTCCGCTGGCTCCATGATCACGGGGAACTACTGCATATACCCTGCCTGTGCCTGAAGACTGCTCTGCTACTAGAGATGGAGAATATGGGACAATCTGCCCCTGAGGAACATCCTGAACTGTTCGAATCTGCCCCTCAGTCCTCTGAGCTGCTGGTGGTGCCTCAAGCCTATTCTGTTGGCCCTGACCTCTACCCTGCTGGCGCTGCTGCTGCTGTTTATTCGGACCCTTGCCATGCTGGGCTCCTGCTGGTACGCTACGACACTTTGATGCCTTATGCCCGACCTTGTGACAATTAAAACAAGATCCCTAGAACTTGCGTTGCTGATGCGCTCTCTGATCCTGTTGGGGTCCCCTTTTATAAGGGACCTGATGCTGCTGCTGATGTCTGGAAAAGGGTCTCTTGTTCTTGCTCTTATCCCCACTCTGTCCTGTCTTGGCCTTCCCTTCCTTGTCCTTCTGGAACATAGTAGTCTCAATCTCCTGAGAAGTGGCAGCCTCAGCTACCTCCCTAACTGAATAAAACCTCCTCGACACGAGGTACCGTCGGAGATTAGGGCGAAGCCCTACTAAGAACATCTGAGCCTGACGCTCTCCCGTCTGCCACACGCCCGTGAAATGTAGCAACTCCATGAACCTGCTCTCAAAATCCGCCACTGACATGTCCCCCTGAGTCAACCGGGACAACTCAAGCTCCTTCCCAGTCCGTGCTGCAAAAGAAATGTACTGTCCATCAAAGAAGTATATGAAATCCTCCCATGTGAGGGTCATCCTCTGCTCCAGAGTAAACTGAAGTTGGTACCATCTCCAGGCATCTCCCTTCAGACTGTAGGATGCCAGCCTCTGCTTCTGTACGGGTCTGGTGACCCCTGGAACTCTGGTGCCCTCATCTTCTGATACCTCTCCACCATACGGAGCCAAGCCTCCTGCTCTGTGGCTCTATCTGGGACTGCTAGAGGAATGGCTACAGGCGTGATCTCTGGGGGTCTCTCTCTGACAGGAACGGCAGGTATCCCCTGCTGCTGAGCTACCGGTGGTGGTGGTGTCCGTGGTGTTATATGAGTCTTCACCAACTCCTCAATTGAGCTACCGGTGGTGGTGGTGTCCGTGGTGCTATATGAGTCGTCACCAAGTCCTCAATGGCCGTCATCCTGGCAATGAGAGGAGCCATAAGATCCACCAAGTACTGAGGAGCCTGCTGCGGCTCGGGTGGTGCCTGCTGAGGCTCGGACTGAGCTGGTTGCTTCTCTGATGGAGTCTGTTGTGACTCTGCCTGGCTAGCTCTCCTGGTACGAGGTCTACCACGTCCTGCCATCTATCTCTCTCTCTCTCTGGTCATAAGAAAATGAGAGTTTATGAGTCAAAATAGACCTTATATGTTAATGTAAAGATAATATATTCACAATAACTATTTACATATATATCATAAATTACTAATATATTATTAAATTACTATTAATGAACTCAGCCCTATTAAAGACCATAGTATATTACATAATATTAGAATATTTATAACAGATTAATTTATTAGTAACACACGAGTCATAACATAATATTAACATTATTGATAATATTATATTATATGAATGAGAGTATAATCTTATATTATATTGACAATAGTATAACATTATATTATATTAATAATAAAATAAGGTTATTTTAAAAATATAATATAATATATGACCATTACAATTTGATATACCAAAATTATTAAATATATAACATTTTGCAAAATAATATGTAATAATTATAAGATGATATAACTCATTAAGTACAATAGATCCAACACTTAAACTAGAACTTAAAGTTATATGGAGGTGGAAATAACACGAGAACAGCTAGATCTATCACTGGAGGAGCGAGAACTTACAACAACTAAGCTGGAACTAACAAAGGCGATAGAGATCCAATGCTTACACTATAACTAGCGCTAGCCGGCTATAGAACTAACATGAATGCGGTTAGACTTAACACGTCAGACGATAGAACTTACAACATCTAAGATAGAACTAACAAAACCAGCGAAACAAATGACGTAGGGCTCCCGTATGGATAAAATGGTGTTTTTTGAGCTAAATCGTCTTCAACCCAAAACATTATCACTTTTCCTAAACACCTAAAATAAGTTTTAATTTTGGTGTTTTGGTTTTGAGTTTGAGGAGGTGTTAATATAATATCTAACATAATATATTAAATGTAATTAATATAGAGTTAACATGTTAATGTAATATCTAACATAATTAGTTGCTAAAATATGTTAATGTAAAGATAATATATTCACAATAACTATTTACATATATATCATAAATTACTAATATATTATTAAATTACTATTAATGAACTCAGCCCTATTAAAGACCATAGTATATTACATAATATTAGAATATTTATAACAGATTAATTTATTAGTAACACACGAGTCATAACATAATATTAACATTATTGATAATATTATATTATATGAATGAGAGTATAATCTTATATTATATTGACAATAGTATAACATTATATTATATTAATAATAAAATAAGGTTATTTTAAAAATATAATATAATATATGACCATTACAATTTGATATACCAAAATTATTAAATATATAACATTTTGCAAAATAATATGTAATAATTATAAGATGATATAACTCATTAAGTACAATAGATCCAACACTTAAACTAGAACTTAAAGTTATATGGAGGTGGAAATAACACGAGAACAGCTAGATCTATCACTGGAGGAGCGAGAACTTACAACAACTAAGCTGGAACTAACAAAGGCGATAGATATCCAATGCTTACAATATAACTAGCGCTAGCCGGCTATAGAACTAACATGAATGCGGTTAGACTTAACACGTCAGACGATAGAACTTACAACATCTAAGATAGAACTAACAAAACCAGCGAAACAAATGACGTAGGGCTCCCGTATGGATAAAATGGTGTTTTTTGAGCTAAATCGTCTTCAACCCAAAACATTATCACTTTTCCTAAACACCTAAAATAAGTTTTAATTTTGGTGTTTTGGTTTTGAGTTTGAGGAGGTGTTAATATAATATCTAACATAATATATTAAATGTAATTAATATAGAGTTAACATGTTAATGTAATATCTAACATAATTAGTTGCTAAAATATGTTAATGTAAAGATAATATATTCACAATAACTATTTACATATATATCATAAATTACTAATATATTATTAAATTACTATTAATGAACTCAGCCCTATTAAAGACCATA